TTAGATATAGATTGCCATATTTTTAGATATTATGTTAAATGCATGCCATATAAAATGCCACTAAATATAAGTCAATGAATTCATTGTAATACTATAATTTTATCCATTTTCTATAATATTGCTATTGATGATTATAAATAATAATATACAACACAGATTATGTTTTTCTATCATTCCAAAAACTATCCCGTATACTCTATACCATTATATTTCCTTTGCAAAAAATTTCAACAACAAGTTTTAAATATTTTAAAATAGTACATACTATTTTCATTTATTTATTTCTTAAAACAGTGTAAAAATACTTACTATCACGAAATCAAATCAGCCAGCTCTTTTTGAAAACTATTGATATTCGCTATCACATTTTAATAATGATTATTTCCTTAAATGAAATGAAAACCAATCCGCTAATGAAAAGTTTCATACTCATATAAAACGTTCCATTACTGTGATTTTGACAACTCACACACTAATTTTCTATATTATTTGAACAATATTAACTATACATCCCTAGTCAGAAAAAGTCAGAACTCCATTATGCATAAACTTTAAAATTATATTTTACTTCTGTGCTTGATGCTTCACTTTTAGATTTATATTCAATTGAACAATCAGATTTAAAATAGCATGAAAACGAACCGAAAAAAATGTCACAATCATTTCTGAACTTTTTTAAAATCACTTATTTTCAAAAACAGATGAAAAACATTTATAACATAAACACGTCATATAATAAAAACGTTTCTCATCATCAGCGAAACCGCAAACTTTATCATACACAAAAATTTCTTTTTTTATATTTTAAAGCGACAATCCCAATATATTTGTATTATATAATATGCAACACTTTTCAAATACGCAAATAAAGTTAGCAGCAGATTCGAGTATTTCCGCCAAATATTCGCAACAACAGCTGTGCCAGATTAAACAATGGTTGTGCCAGGTAGCCCATCGAATATACTATACAATGCCATAGGTTCAACACCTTTTCACTACATCGTTTACCGGAAAAATAAAAAAAACTGATAAAAAAACGCTTTTTTTACTGCGAATATCAGTATTTCCACCAAATATTCGCTCTTCATCCTGTGCCACTCACGAAATCACTTGTGCCAGATAGAATTCGATGAGATCTATCGATTGGTACCCATTACGCGACGATCCAAGCCAACATACAGGGACCAAGTGGTCAGCACCTCGAAAACCAACTTCCGCCACCTTTAATCCGGGCAACTATTCGCTTACATGGTTGTGCCACTGGTGAAATCACTTGTGCCAGATAGAACTCGATGGGATCTATCGATTGATGCCACATAAGCGATGCTCCAAGTCAACGTACAGGGTCCAAGTGGTCAGTAGC